AACTCGTGGTGTTCATTGACGCGCACATTCATGTTTGCAAGGTACCCGAATATTAACTCACTTTACTGGTGTTGTGTCGAAAATGCAGGGTTGTTGATATGATGCATAGAAGCGGAGTACAATGCAGTGCCTGGAATGACGCTACATACCTATTTTACATTACGTAAAGGTACCAAGTCCTTCTGATCAGTGGCAAGATGGAAAAAATCCCTTGATTTTATTTTGGGGACAAATTCTCTAGTGCGAGTTTAAGCATCAAAATGAAGGTTGATACATTCTGGTCCAAGTACTCATGTATACAGTCTCTGAAACAGCACCGTCTTCAAACGGATAAATACCGCACCGGAGGATTGTATAACCTTAATTTCTGTGAGAAAACAAAACTTCTTTCAGGCTATAAATCCCGGGTAGATCTCATCATTTCGTCGCACTATTTCTATTGCTAATTGATCATTATTGTTTTCCGTAGAAATCGTGAATGCTAGCGATTATTCATTTGTCAGCGTGCACCAAAAAGTCGTTTCTGGTGGGATGAACGGGTCTCAGTCATCGCTGTGGACGATAAGCCTAACGAAGCACGCGCGAACGATGCACATGTGCCGCATCGATTGATAGCCACGCTATGCACGATCCCATTGGGTTGCGATCCGCTTATTGATGTTCAGTTTTCTTCGTCTTCCTATTTTTTTAAAGTCTACTTTCCAAAGTAGTTTTTCCACGTTTGTCGTCTCGAAGTGGCCTCACCACTAGTACTCTGTTCGCGAAACATCGTAGCGTGTTTGTAAGACGACCCTGTTTTGCTCTGTACCGTCCCAAAGTTCACCTAATGCGTGTTCTACCTCCCGATTCTACTTCCCCTCCAAACCAAAGGATGTTAATTGCAATGAAAATCCTCGATGTTTGAGTTATTTTCCGATTCAGTATTCTACTGTGACCAATACTATACGCTTAAGACTCATTTTTATCACTTTGATGCTATTATTTGGATGTATTACATTACAGGAACGGAGATATTTATAGCGCCTTGCTGGATTGTCAAACAACATTGGGCCTGACCAGTAATGTGACCGGGAATTCGGCTTCAGCGTCCACTCCATCCAATTCTTCCGACCCCGCTTCTCACAACACACTTGCTCGAAGCTGTGTTCGAGTCACGGCACTGTTGCTTTCCGCTCGCTGTTTGCTTCGTCTCGATTGGATTCCTGAGGCCCGTGTAATGCTGGATAAAGCTCGTCAAGAATCAGCAATACTTCTCAAAAGTGAGCAGCATGATCAACCGACTCCCCAGCAGCCCAAACAAGCTGTAAATGGTGTGCGTTACTCGATGAATTCTGTCCAGGAGCGGGGTTTGGAGAAGTTCTTCTCACTGCTCGAGTGTGAAATTCGAACCAGGGAGCTGGAGGTCGAACGTAAACAACGAGCAGAAGCTGCTGCACGGGAGCAAAGCTCACCCAAACCGACGGACCCTACGGAATCAGATGCTGCAAAACCATCTCAAACTGAAACCAAT